GAGGCAGTGGGCACAAAGGGAAACAAAAAATTCCCTGTCTGAATATCAGTAGAATTTTTATTTTTACTGTGTAGGTGACTACTTGCAACCTGCTCAAGGTGGCCCTGTTTGTATACAGGGGTTGGACAAGATGACTTCCATGGGTGCTTTCCAAGCTCTAACATTCTGTGTTTCTATGTAATTATGGTTTGTGATCAAGCCATTTGCTAATCAAAGTGATAGCTAGGAGTGAAAAAGTTTTTTTAAAAAAATAAAAAAAATAAAAATTCACATTTACAGATCTTCCAGCATTTACTCATTTTAAATAACAATGCTGTTTAAATACTTCTGTTCAAAGATTTACTGGAAATCAACCTTATTAGCTAACAGCTCCCCCAGCAACACTAAGAAAATTCTTAGAAATGCTCTTGACAGTCTTAAATCACTTCATCAAGAGTAATACAGACCATTTATTAGTTAGCAAACATAAATCATTTTTACTTGAAAAGAGGAACATATCTAAAGAACTAGATATTAGATACTAGAACTAAAACTTTTTGTGAGATCTTGTGGCTCTGGTTTGAAGATAACAATCTGTGCTACAAATTATGAAGTGACATCATCATAGAGCAGTAATGCAATTTTTGCAGCGTATGCAACACAGCAGCAATCTCCCTGGGGACAAAAAAGCTGGTATTTTACTCTATGTCACCAACACTCACCACGATAAAGTAAAAAAACATTCCTGCTTGCTCATCCCATTCTATTGCTCATCCCACTATTCTAAAATGGAAAAACTCGCAAGAGTTTTCCTCTTCACAAACACTTAAGATACATTTTCACACATTTCAAAGGTTTGGCGAAACTGAGCATGTCCCGACTTTGCGGTACTCATCTTCAATGTTGATCCCAACAGCTCCCCCTTCTAGAAAATATCACATGCAATTATCTAGAAAATGAAGCATTACTACAGACTTTTTAGATCTTCCATGTTGGCGTAGAGAATGTTTTTATAAAGTTACAATGGCAAAGCAGATCTGAACAAATGCATTAATTATGATGATTTAAAGAACAATGCAAATAAACCCACAGCAGAGGCACGTGTCCATAATTACTAAACTTGACTGGCACTACAGCTTGATGCACTGAGAATCTGGTTGCAACTTACAAAAGAAAAGAAACCACATGTACTATTTTAAACACTATTAACAGGTTGTTCCACACAAAGAAGTCAGACACCTACAATGAAGTCTTTACTATTCTGAAGACAAAAACATACCAGGTACTACAAAACAGCTGCCAGGCTGTTAAATTCATTCCTTCTCACTCAAGCAAATGTTGACTTTGCACACAAAACTTAATGATACTTCAAAGAAATAAAATATACTGTGAAATAAAGTTTAAGAAGATAAATAGCTGTGAATCTTTTAAAGCACAGGTACAGTATTTACACTGAAGTTCTTCTAAGAGATAACATTTCAACAAATCACTGTGGTTACAGCAGATGTATGCTATAAAGGTGTTTTCTACACAAATTGAATTATTAATCATTGAAGAGATGATTGAACTCACACTTACTTCAACCTCTGCTTCAGGCACATGGAGTTACTTCAATCAGACTCTCATCCTTTCTTCTTTATCACCCCTGTGCACATTTTCAGTTTCACCCAGTCTGCATTCCATGCAAAGTCAAAATTCCTATGTTGTTATATTGTGCCTTGCACTACAATGCTTGACGTGCCTCACTGTCTTAACAGGTATATCTGGGTGCATGGATGGTGCCACACAAAGGGCTTTGACTTCTGTGATAGTGGATGCATCTTGGATAGACCAGGACATGATGTCAGATGGGACACAACTGACCAGATAGGCAGGAATCTGACTGCACTGAATTAGCAAACCTTTAAACTAGATTTGATGGGAAAAGGGAATGTACCTCTTTAGTTACAAAAAATGAGTTACAAAAAAGAACCAGGGAACTCTGTCACTTAAGGAAGCAGGAGGAAAAAAAAACCTCAGATTTGTTCCAAAGCCATTAGGGAGGGCTCCTCCAAGAAGGTAACATTCCCCATAGGCCAGCTGAAATGCCACTACACCAATGTATACAGCATGGGAAATAAGCAGGAGGAGTTGGAAACCATAGTGTAATTAGAAAACTATGTCCTAATTGCTCTTAGAAATGTGGAGGTTGCCAATCCTGCCCACAATGGGGTAGATGGTCTTTAATAAGTCCTTTCCAACACAAGCCATTCTACAAACTACACGACCAGAACACTATTTGTAGGGATACAAGGGATCAATGGGATACAAGCTTTTTAGAAATAGGGGAAGTTGAGTTGCCCTATATGTTAACCAACTGATAGATTGCAAAGAGCTACCTCTGAGAAACAGTCCTGAATATACTAAGAGTTTATGGGTAAAAATTAAGGACAAGACCAATAAAGGACATCTGGTGGTAGGATCTACTACAGGCCCTAGAGGAGCTTGGTGACAAGGCCTTTTTGCTTAGCTTCAAGAGTCATTGTGCACATAGTCTCTCATCTCTATGGGACATTTCCACCACTGAGTACTTCCTGGGAAAGCAACTCAGCAGGCTGCAACCAATCCAAGAGACTCCTGGAGCGCAATAAGGGTAACTTCCTGCTCCAGGTACTAGATAAACCAATCAGAGGAGAAGTGCTATGGACCTGCTATTCACCAATACAGACAAACTCATTAAAGAGGTTAAGACTGCAGGTGGACTGGGATGTAGAAATGATGTCCTAGAGGTGTTTGTGATCTCGAGGAATATGGGCCTGGTAAAGAGCTACGTCAAGACACCAAACTTCAAATAAATTAACTTCCAGCTGGTTAAGGAATTACTGGATAACATTGCCTGGGAAGCTCTTTAGGGACAAAGGAACAGAGCAGAGCTTAATGATGCCTTTCTGAGAGCACAAGAGTTGTAGATCCCCCAGTGCTCGAAACAAAGCAGGAAGAGCGGGAAATCAATACAGCAGGAAAAACAACCTGCTGGTCAAGCTGAGGGATAAAAAGGAAGCACACAGGTAACTGAAGCAGGGATATGTGGCTCAGGAAGAATATAGGAATGCTGTCCAGACAAGCAGAGATAGGAACAGGAAAGCCAAGAATTACAAAATCATTGAATCATTTGAGTTGGATGGGACCTTAAAAAAATCACCTAGTCCAACTCTCCTGCAATGAAGAGAAACATCTACAGCTAGCTCAGGTTGTTCAGAGCCCCATCCAGACTAATCTTGTATGTCTCCACAGACGGAGCATCCACTGCATCTCTGGGCAACCTGTTCAAGTGCCTTACCACCCTTACAGTAAAAAAATTATTCCTTATACCCAATTTAAATTTCCCCTCTTTTAGTTTGAAACTATTTCCTCTTGCCCTATCACAACAGATTCTGCTAAAGAGTCCATTCCCTGTCAAGGAAGGAAGACATTCACTTGTCAACCACTCAGAATTCATTATCTTGAAACATGAGGTTGTTTGTAGTTTAGATGCCATTTCACATCTAGTCTCTATGTACAGCAAGACAAAAATTGATTAAGCCCAGAAGAATGTTAATACTTGTGAATGTAAAAATATTGGGAAGTGAAATTCTTACTTCAGAGCACTAAACACTGATCTAGTTCAAGTTTAGATCTTGATCACACATACAATCATATTCAGTACTATTCTATCAGTAATATTGACACAGTTACCACATTGCAAAGACTCAATAAAGTGATTACGTTCTTCTTTTCATAACTTATAAATAAGTTCCTTACTTATTGCAATGCTTACAATATGGCTGCATTTTCCAGTAGTTTTCCTCACAGTAGTTATGGAAAGTGCACTCTCAGCAAGTTTGCTGATGATAGAAAGCTGGGAGGAGTGGCTGACACACCAGAAAGCTGTGCTGCCATTCAGCAAGACCTGCACAGGTCGGAGAGCTGATTACAGAGGAAACTTAGGAGATTCAACAAGGACAAGTGCAGCATCCTACACCTGGGCAGGAATAACTGCATCATCAGTACAGGTTAAGGACTGAGCTGCTGGAAGAGAGCTCAGCAGACAGGGAGCTAGGTGTCCTGGTTGACACCAGGACATTAGCAAGCAATGTGCCCATGATGCCAAGAAGGCTATGATATGCTGGGTTGCATTACAGAGTGTGGCCAGAGTGGGTGGATCCTCCCCCTCCATTCTATTCCGGAGTGGTCACATCTGGAATACTGTGTCCAGGTCTCTGCTCCGCAGTTAGAGAAAGATAGGGAACTACCTGAGAGTCAAGGGGAGGGCTACAAAGCAGATTAGGATCTGGGAGAATCACTCTCATGAGGAAAGGCTGGGAGACCTGGGACTGTTCAACCAGAAGAAGACCAAGAGGGAATCTTATGCAAGCTTATAAATAGTGAAGGGTGAGTGTCAAGACAATGACATTCACCTCCTTTCAGTGGTGCCCAGCGACAGGACAAGGGTCAGCAGGCACAAACGAGAACAGAGCAACTTCCATCTGAACATGGGGAAAAGATTTTTTTCTTTTAAAGGAGACAGAGCACTGGAAAATGCTGCCCAGAGGTACTGTGAAGTTTCCTTCTCTGGAGATATTAAAAATATTCCTTTTCCTGTGCACACTACCCTAGGGAAATTTCTTTAGCAGGTGAGCGGGACTAGATGATATCTAGATTCCTTCCAACCTGTAAGACTTTGTGATTGCGTGAAGCTTTCAGCTAAAAACAACCCAATCCATCTATATGTAAAAAATGCATCTTGCTAAAGCAAACTTTCAATTTCTGATTATCTGTTCTACACACTACTTTTGAGGATCTATGGGAACTGCTGAGTCACGGCCTGAACCTCTGATTGATCACCTGAGGCGAGCACTGGGTCAGCCATGGCAGCACAGGTGAAGGCAGTTCAGTTGTGCTGCCGGAAGGGGTGGAGCCTGGCTCCACTTCTCCTAGAGCCATTTAAGAGCTGGCTACCAGTGCAGAAGGATCCCTTCTGGAGATCCACTCTGCTGGAGTTTTGTAAGTGAGCCCAGGATAGGGGTAAGTGTCCTATCTATTCTCTTTTTGTTATTATGACCTGCTTTGGTCTAACTCCCTTGTTTATTTCATAACTGTAACATCTTTATATTCATTGATTATACAAAGGAACCTAGTAAAGAACAGTGATTGCTATGATCATATTTAAATCAATGTTTTTTGTGAATTCAGAGTGGCTATACTAAGCCTCTTCTACTGTATGCTGTAATGATATCCTCAAGAAAAGAACAAATTTCAGAAGAACTTTGAGGAATGCTATTTAAACTATAAAGTGACAAAACAGAGAATAGCAATTTCTGTAGCATGGTACTAGTGTGAGTTCATTCCCGTAATCCAATTCTTCCTTATCCATTTCAGCTGAGTACACATGCATACTTCATAAGCAAAGGAACATAAGCTCTATCACATAATATTTAATCACCTAGGAAATTTTTTCTCCAGCAAGGTCAGAACAATGCGGGAAATTCCCCAAAGTTTGAGAGAGAAAGAAGAAAACATCAAATGAGGTAAGACTCCTTCATAACATGCTTAGGAATGCCTCTTATTTACAGATGAGGAATGTCTGAATGTTGTCTTACTCTCCCCACCTCATTAAATTAGACTAAATAGTAGGGACAAGAAAAGTGAAAGTAGATAAGAGGCATTTCTGTTGTTTCTCATTCAACAGACAAACACGAGCTCTGTGCAAACACCATTAGAATGTGTAGCAGAAAGCTTTGGTCATCTCTTCTGGATTTCCTTCTACGACAATTCTCCACCTGTCTGAACTGATAATGAAAGTAAGCAACTATAAATCCACAGTGTTCCCAAAAACAAAAGTATGTATAATTAAAACCTAAGTTCAGATAACTGATGGTATTATTTCTCCATATACACTGGTCTACTGTTACAGAAACTCACTCCTAACAATTTTTTTTTTTTTTTTTTTACACTATTATTTGCATTAAACAACTTTTGACAATATTAAATTCCTTACAATACAACAAGGAACTGGAAAAACAGAAGTACCCAGCATCCTACAGCTGAATTTACTGTTCAAGTCATGGACAAACACACACAGCATTGAAAGAATAATAGTTTTAGCTCCCCTGTGTTTAGTGGCATAGAGTGCTAGGTTGTGAAACATATTTGTGTCCTAAAATACATTCTAAAGAACTTCAGCATAAAGCACAAAGTATGATGCCTGTGTAAATAATCTCAGTTATATTCCAGTATCAAACCAGTATTAGGTAAATCTTCTAATAAAGTCTTGTAATAGCAAAGTCTTTGGAAAAAAGATCCAAACAAAATCCAAACTTTTTTTTAACACTTCAGAAAACAAATGAAGTTATAGCTGTATTGGTTATCATAAATAAGATAACTAAGTAGTGAAAAGCCAGGCATGTCTACCTTCATTTTCGCTATTCATTGAATAACTAACTATATGTTAGACTCAAAAACTCACTGGAAGACAATTTGTTCTTGAGAGAATATCAACTGAAGGACAGGAATTATATATATATTACATATAATAATTGTGTACATATAAAATATTTAAAAATTGCTGTTCACCACATTAGAGTGAGCAATACTGTTTCTACTTCCAGGGCAAGATTAAGCTTTTGATCTACGCAGGAGCAAGAATTCTTTAACATTACAGACCACAAACCAGAAATTTAAAAAAAAAAAAAAAAAACACACACAAAAAAAAACCCCACATTACAGGGGTTGTAAGGGATCTCAAGAGATCACTGAGTCCAATCCTCTGCTAAAGCATGTACCCTACAACATGTAACCCAGGTGTTCAGCTGGGTCTCCACAGATGACTTCACCAGTGCTCCAATTATTTTAGAATGTATTTTTCTTATAAATACAATTATTCTGTGAGAACTGCTAGTAATGCCCTTCTTAAAAAGCAACTTAGAGATATTTACATCTCATTTAACACCACTTCAGTTTTTTCTCCTCTTCTCAGTTTTAATAAAATACGATTTGTAAGTATAAAAAAACTCTGCTACCATGCCACTAAGTATATCTAATATCAAAACTGAGGCAAACATGCATTTTTGAAGCCGCCTTATTTTTATAAATGGCATATAAGAAAAGCAGTTGCACAATAAACATCACCTCTATAAAGCAGTTTCAAAAGCTACTTCCACACATTTTATAATGTTTTGCTAATGGCGATTGTCATTCAAAACAACGATTCATAGAAAGAAGATGTTAAAGTATGCATTGTAAAATAACATCTACAGCAAAAACTGCAATGTAACTTAAATGCAGTCACAGAAATCTGTTTATTTATTTACTTTTCATAAGATCATAGAATCATAGAATGGCCTGGGCTGAAAAGAACCATAAAGATCATGTAGTTTCAACCCCCCTGCCGTGGGCAGGGATGCCAACCACTAGACCAAGCTGCCCAGAGCCACATCCAGCCTGGAACTTTTAAACAATAGTTATCTAAATTAAAAACCCTCACCTACAATTTAGGTTGTTATTAATTTTGTAGTTTGTTTTTACAGTAAATGAAAACAGTAACACATTTGGAAAGCTAACAATGCAAAATACATTATTGCTGCTAAACACTACGTATATGAAACTGAACCGCAACTATTAAAATTCATGTTCAGATGAAATTTATGTTCACTGAAATTTTTTGGAGGGAGGGGTTTATGACTGATTGATATAGTAAGACAGTTGTTTTGAATATTCTGCACAGATACTTAGGATCTAAAAAGTCACCTGTCTTCTTAGGTTTAAATTTCCATGCAAGCTCTAACTAAACTACACTGGCAACAATTTTCTGAATGCACTTGTCCTTCACAAGCTGTTAGGTTAAACATAGATCTTTTGTTGCTTAACTTTATGGCTGAAAGTGAGTATTTACCTGCAAGTTGACACTGTTCTGAAACTAGGCCTGCTGCAGTGTATGAAGCAGCCTGCTAAAATCTTACATTCATAGCTAAGCTCATGACTCAAAACTGCTTTATAGTAGCTCACAAAAAAATACAGCAGCCACCTAATAATTTGAAGTGATGCAACAACTGTGTATCTCCACTATTTTGAAATTGTTTTTAAGTTTTTCAGTGAGTTAACTGAAATCCTCCACCTACCTACAGCATTTTTCTACGTGGTGTCCACATACATGACAAAAATGTCAACTGCAAAAATTCTCAATCCTATTTGCTTGATTAAGCAGAAACATGATTAATGCCCACAGTCAAACCAATACCTGCACAGACCAAACCTAACACTGTATATCTCTAGGAGTGATGATTTTAGAATCATCATATCACACACTTACTCTGTATTCTTCTGTACATGAATAAAGTAATATTATCAGAAAGGGGAAATATTGCTGTGAGATAGCATAGCAAAAAACAAGTTCAAGCTTGTTTGATCTCTCTGAAGCTAATCAATCAGATTCACTCACCTAAACTTTATTTGTAACACACAAATTCTTACAAGTTACACTCTTTCTAGACATATTACGCAAATTAATCACAGTTCAATCACCTTGCAAGCCTGTAGTATATGCCTGCGTAACTGAAAGGGAAACTCTCACCAAAAAGTTGGTATCTGAACAAGGTAAAGCAATAATGCTGTCCAGTTTCGAGAATCAAAATGCAGAATGATCAGCTAAGCAAATTTCAAAACAAATAAACAAAAATCAGTATTTCATTAGTTTTTACTATAGGTAAAAATGTCAACTCACCTGACTTGTGTTTCTTGTGTTTTGCTTTCTTTTTGAATAACTTGCTCTGGATCTCAGATTTGTAAGATTTGAATGGATAAAGATGAACCTCACGTCTTCTTTGCAAGTCATCAAGTTTTTTCTGCAGATTTTCATTTATAATATCCTTCAATTTCTTTTTTTTCTTTTTCTTCTTCTTTGCCCGCAACTTAATTAGTTTATTGTTATTACTTCGAAGTGAGTTCTCCAGCGTTATTTCTTTAGCAGATTTGTTGTACTCTGTGTCTTGGTTATCATTATGAGTGCCATTGACAAGCACCTGACAAGCTTTCAGCGTGTTCTCTTTGAATGGACTGATCCCAACTTTTACTCTGGCCATTTCCGCACAACCCTGTCCGTTCTCTGCAGGCTTTCTTTCTCCTGAACTAAAGTGATCGGCCATGCTCACAATCTCTCCTGAACTAATTAAATGCCTCAAGTTCTCTTTATAACAAGTTTTTTTAATATCACAGACTCCTGAGGTCTTCATTTCACAGTTAATCTTAATCTCTGTAGTGACACTAAAGCTATCTAAATGTGTATCTTCTTCTGGGCAGCCAGCAATGGAACCCATACTTTTCCCTACTTCTGACTTGGAACGAGGTAGCAGATCTCCTCTATTGCCAGAGCTGACAGCTCCATTACTTTTGCTTACATACTCATGTTTTACCTTCTCTACCTTTGTACGTGGCACTTTTTTTACTTTGATGGGAGGAGATGGAAACTCAGGAGCCTGAAAAGGTTTCTGTTTGTAAATACGAACATCTGCACCACAAAACTGTGGAAAATGAACATATGCATTTTCTAAGTAGTCATAACCAAGAATTACTTCTCTGCATTCATGAATAGGTTGACCCAGAACAGCGTCTTGAACATCCTTTTGTGTTTCATAGACAAAATCACAGAGACCTTTAAGCAGCCACACTTTCTGGTAGAATGGTAGTTCATGAAACGGTTTTTCCTGTAAGGGATTAACTTCTCCAAGGACTTTAAAAAACTGTGGACACAATCCAAGTTTTTCTGCAGAGCTGTTAGGATTGTCAGTCTGCCCTACAACATTATACCAGTGTTGGACTTTCTGTCTTAGTGCTGCTTCCCAAGCCCTGTAAGAAAGTGTTGGCCTACGATGTAATGTAGATCTGCGATGTGGAGGACTTAACAAAGAAGTCATTATTTTAGATAAAAAAGCATTACACTGAGGCATGAGAAGACAGCGTTCCAATTCATAGAACACTATTTCAGGTAAGTTTAAAATCTGTTGTGCTAAACAAAGGAAATGACCAATAGCTGGAATCTCCCACATCGTCTCCATCCTCGTTGGTGCTGCTTGAGCTAAAAGTGACTTTTCCCATTCTTCTATTTCCTTCTGACTAGCTTCTTCTGCTTCTTTTCTTTCTTGCTCTCTCATCCTATTAGGAGAAAGTCCACAAAAAATCAGGTATCAGTTGAATTAAAAGAAACAGGAGAAAAAAAAAAAAAAATCAGAACTCCAGTATGATATACACATCTTGAAGGAATAAGGAACACAATACATACCAATATTTGGTTATTTATAAAACATATCCCTCTTTAGTTCTCAAATCCCTTATTTTTGCTGTGTTTCAGTATTTCCAATTAACAGTATTTTACTTGTCATCCACCCATATAAACATCTCTTAATACAAATGCTAGGTAGCTTAATTCCAAATTATTGTCGTGTGGCTTGTGTCACCTAACCTGTAATCTCCTTGTTTCTGTCTAACTTAAGTGCTTCATTCACATGCAGGAATGTGAAAATCCCTCCCATGTGGAGGCTTGTTTATTAGCTTGTGTACAACAGTGGTCAAAAAGGAAACATATTACATTGTATGAAGAATGTGATGGAAAAAGACATTAGAAATAAGATGCCATTACATTAATAAGTGGTTTGCCCTCACCTGAAAAATTGTATTCAGTTCTGGTCCCCTATCTAAGAAAAGGATAGAGCAGAAATAGTGGGTATTCAGAGGAAGAGGTTATTGGCAATATGAGTCCTGTTAAACTCCTTTAAAATTTCAGACTCCATACAAAACATTAGCAAGAGAAAATCACGACCACAATATACAGAACAATTTCCTTTTACTTGTAAATTTATCATGACAGTCAAAAGCAACAAGTTGAAGAGGAAGAAATGCTTCCA